TATATATATATATATATATATATATATATATATATATATATATATTAAATAAATAATATACTATTATTTTTTTAAAACTATTATGTTTTTCTGTACATATTTATTTTCTTTAATAAACCATTCAAAACACTTCCTATTTTGCACATCTACCAGGCGTCTCGTGACTGTTTCTTTATTATGGACTGATTAGTGATCTTGTGATTATATAATCAATAAGCAAACCATAAAAAATATTTGTTATTGCACCCTTATAATAGAATCGTCCAACCCTTGAATGCTTCTTTGAAATTAACACTATCCACCTAAAACACACGCTTGCGCAATATTTTTTCGCAGGACCACCCTCCATCTTTTAACAGCTGTTGCTTCCTAACGTGTTGCGCAGTTGACTATTTCCCTCCGCCGGTAACATGTGACCTCACGTAGCTGAAAACTCCGGCAGAAATAAGAGAAAATATGGAGTTATCCACCTCTCGCGGGATGAAATTATAAATAGATTGGAGACGGTGCCTGAATATGACAACGGGACGGAATTGTATAGTGGTTTGGTAATTGGCATTGCCGATGACGCACACCGGGATGTTATTAAACAAATAGATACATAACACAAAATTTGCATTGATACTTCTGTTCTAAACACAGAACATAATCGCCTGAAATAAAAGTCATCATGTACAAATCAATGAAACTATTATTTTTAGCGGAGGAATTACTAAAAAAAATACGTGTAAGTCTGGGAAGCAATGATAATGATAAAATAAAATAACACATCAAACTACAGTCCACAAATAGTTAAATATAAAATAGATAAAGAATATTAAGAAACTTCTTTAGGTGCTGTCTCTAATGGAGGTTGGCGATGACTAATGAGGATTTTAATGAGGACTTTAATACTTTTTTGTGTCTCATCCAAAGCTCGTGCAAATATCTCTTTTGAGTAATACCCCTTCATGTACCATGTTCTTTCAGAAAGTTGGTTACCATCATAGCTATCTTGTCCTGGAATGTGTTTGTCTGCCATTTTTTCTTGCATAACATTTTGTAGCAATCCATATTTGGGACCTCTCATTACATGTTCGAAGTACTCCAGCTTTCTCTGCTTGATGCTTTTGATAATAATCTGGGTAGTCTTGCTATTATGTTCTAATATTGTGTAGTTTCGAATCTGTTCCACCCAAAAAACTTTTAAAATTCTTCTATAGCAACACATTTCGAAAGCCCCAAGGCGATTTAGATCGATTTTATTCACAGTCCAGCACTGGACACCATACAGTAAAATCAAAATCACGTAGCAGTGAAGTAGGCTGAGCCGCAATGTCAATTTTAGGTCTCTGTTAGATAATATCTTAGACATCCTTTTAAAAGCGGCTTTGGTTTGCTCAATTCCGTATCTAATTTCACCTTGACTCTCTGCGTTATAGTTTAATTCATATCCAAGGTAAACAATTTGATCAACTTGCTCAAGTTTGATACTATTCACATAATAGACTATATTCTATTCTTTACTTATTTCGAGTATTTTGGTTTTCTGTATATTTCCATTCCGTTATTTCCGTAACAGCAAAAATAAGAATGGAGAAAGAAGATCTGAAGATCAACGGAGTATACGGCTCAGAAAATAACAAGCCTCAAACGGCAAGGGAAACCTTTAATGACGAATTATTTCATCAGAGAGAAGATGATAAGATTGGAAGATTTTAACGCTTAAAGAGGAAACCAAGAGTACCAGGAATTAAGCAAAGACATAACATAAACAGAATGTTAATAATGTAAGTGGATAACTCATACTACACATAAAATGCCCAAAATACCCAAAAACAGGAAGACTTAGACCTATATAGAACGAAAAACAGAGAGGTAAAGAAAAGAGTAACAAATGAAAAGAACGAACGATGGGAACAAGCATGCACAGAGATAAAACGACATATCAGAGGAACGAGAAATTCAGAATCATGGCGAATATTAAAAGCACTCCAACGAAATAAGACAGAGAAAACCCAGATTGGCAAAATTAGTGAAAACGAGTGGCAAGAATACTACGTAGAACTACTTACAGAAAACCGTCCCCAATTTTAGGAAAAGAATACAGAACATGCAGGAAATGGGACATACGACCAGATAGAAATAAGTCTGACAGAAGTCAAGAGAGCAAACAGGATATTGAAGTACAAAAAAGTCAAAGGACCGGAGGGATACCAAACGAACTAATTAAAAACGGAACGGAAAAGTTATTCCGCGTGCTACACAGAATGTTCGAAAGAGGACTAAATGGAGAGGAAATACATGCGGAATGGACACAAGCATACATCACATCCATACATAAGAAAGTAAACAGAAAAAAATGTGAAAACTACAGAGGAATTAGTATAATATCGTCGGTAGGTAGACTTTACGGGAAAATTATCAAGGAAAAACTAGAAACTGAAATAATAGGAAAAATTGGAGAAGACCAAGCAGGGTTCACAGTAGGAAAATCATGCCTAGATCATACGTACACATTAGAACAACTGATAGAGAAGAAAATGGCAAAAGGTAGACCGGTCCATCTGGCGTTTGTTGATGTAAAGAAAGCATACAGCTCAATACCTAGAGTCAAATTATAGGAAGCAATGAATGATCTCGGAATCCGACAAACATTAATAAAAGTAGCTAAAGCACTATACAAAGAAAACAAAGTAGCTATTAAATGTGGAAATAAAGCCTACAATCCATTTAAGACGACAAAAGGACTTCTACCAGGCTGTGCTACGTCCCCTACTCTGTTTAAAATATTCTTGGAAAAGACACTCAAACCATGGAGGAGAAAGTGCGAAGGAATGGGCATACCAGTAAGAGACGAATACCTCTACACTTTAAGTTTTGCCGACGATCAAGTAGTCACCGCACAAGATGAAGAAGATCTCAGCTTTATGCTATGAAAACTAGAAGAAGAATATAAAAATAACGGAATGGAAATAAACTTAGGGAAAACCGAATACCTAACAACAGAAAACAAGGATATGAGAAACCTAGAGATAGACGAGGGAAGACAAGTAAATAGAACAGATAAATTCAAGTATTTAGGAATCATAATATCGAACCAGGGAACAACAGAAGAAGATATAAACAACAGACTAAGACATACAAGAAACTGTATAAGACAACTAAATTCAGTGCTGTGGGATAAGAACATTACGATAAAGACAAAAAAGAGAATATATAATACACTGACAAGAAGTATCCTGACATATGGGTCCGAAAACTGGACAATAAACAAGAGAAATAGAGGTAGAATAAGAGCAGTAGAAATGGAGTTCCTGAGGAGAAGCTGTAGACTTACAAAAGAGACAGAATTGAAAACGCAGAGATTAAGCGGAGAATGGGAGTGCAATCAGACATAATTGACTATATAGAGGAGAAGAGACTATCCTGGTAAGCCACGTCAGAAGAGCGGACAGAGGACGCTGGATAAACAAAATTACAGAATGGAGCCCGATCGGAAGAAGAAAGAGAGGAAGACCCCGAAGGTCATTCAGAGACGAAATCGACGAGGCTATGAAGAAAAGAACCCTGCGAGATGGCGACTGGAATGTCAGGGAAAATTGGAGAAAACGGTTGAGTGAAGGAAGACAGTGAAAACTGTGGAAATCCTTAGTAGTAGTAGTAGGATAACTCATGATAAACTTCTGCACTAATAACAAACTTAAATAATCAACATATTTTTTCACCACAAAGACCAACACAAATATACATTCAATAACACCTGTGAACAAATATCTATGATAGATTATGTTATAACCAATAGAGATATCGTCAACTAGTCTATATTTGTCCACTGCTGAACGTAGCCTATTTCTATCTTAAGCTTCTCGTATCCAATTTGTGGTGGTTCACTTTATATCATCCGTATATCTAGTCGGTGGTCGTCCTCTGTTTTGATACGCTTCTTGTCTTGGTCGCCATTCCAGAATCTTTCTGATCCATCTATCATCCATCAATCTGACAACATGTTCGGCGCAAGCCCATTTAGCCATAGCTATTTTTTCAACTGCATCCGTTACTCATATTCTTCTTCTTATTTCTAGATTTGTTACTTTATCTCTAATGGTAACACCACAGAATACACCACCCAACATTGATCTTTTATTGATTAATTACTAGCATTGATCTTTCATTGATTGATTATTGGAGGCATATTGAAAAACAGATAGTCATGTTTACATAAAAAGAAGAAGAAAAAGAAGAACTGAATCAAAAGGTTTAAGCCAAACTTATGTTGTTGTTTCAAAGACACATAGACATTCCTTCTCATTTGTCATTTTGGTCACGTGGTCGATAAACTCGGCAAATTAGAAAGAGATGCAAGGACTGCTTTGCGACAGTTTTCTCTGTCGCACTGAGGGAACGACGCTGTCTAGCAGCGCTCAGTCTATTTGTATTTTATATGTCTATGTATGGAAAACATATTATGTTTATGGTAATGGTTATTTAGAACAATTAAGTAAAAATTTTAGCTTCAAGGCAACTAAACTGATTGTAAAATTTAAATAACATGAAAATTAGTAAGACATAGACAGGAACGTTGTCATTTTGACATTCTGAAAACTTGAAATTTCCAGTACAAATCTTCTAATCTATGGTACTAATCTTTGTTGGCTATTAAAGATGAACAAATAGCTATAATGTAAAACTTTTGCGTCTGTGAGTAGAAAAAGACGCAATATAAAAAATATCCATGAATAATGTAATATAATGTGCAAATTATTCGATATTTTATTTTTTCTTCGTGGCATCGTAATATTTCCAAATGTCCACAATATAAAGCGATTAGTTTTATCAAACATATTCACTTTTTTAACATTTAATTAATTTTAATCGTAATTATTGTTAGTAATTTCAGTAACCATATAAAATAACTGTCTCGCGTTCCATGGAGAACTCTATTGCACAGTTATCCGTTATATTCGGTCACATCTCGATGCTCGATATCGCGCGCGTCGCTTCTTTCAGTCAGTGTTTACCAACAATCGAGAAGGGACGCGCACGTTCTCTGAATCTAGTGCGGTTACATGTGCACAACGTAACCAGTTTACATAACAAGCAAGTAAAACGACGCAGGGCTTAACCTGATGAACGCAGTGACGGTTCGGCAAGGGGCTGTTATTACGTAACGTGAGAGTTCAAACAGTTGAGGAATCACAGTGTGTTGAATAATTGCGCAAGTAATACCTTCATAGATCAATAAAGTAGGCACCACATGAGGTAACTTAACATGGAATAAGAGTTACACAATGCAGCGGGAGAGTGGTAATGTATTAGAACAGGCTGAAAACTTCTTAAAGAAGTACCCGGATTTGATAACCTCACTTTACAGTTATCACAAGAAGTCTAAGCTAAAGTCCGAGGGAAGGATCTTACGTAGGGACACAGAGAGAATCAGGAGGTATAGAAAGTTTAGAAAAGAGCCCAATTCGCGGCTGAAACAATTCGAAAACGCATTTTTCCAAGCGATGGACCAAAAACCTCTTCTCTTTACTTGTCCCGTGTGTAGAAGCGTCCTTAGGACGCCGGTGACCATCGAGTGCGGGCATACCTTTTGTAATGACTGTTTAAGTTCGCCAGAAAATAATTTTTCCAACAGATGTGCCGTTTGTGCCGCGGAGTTAGTGCTCGAAAGGCGGTGCATCAATGTTTTGGTTCAACATCTGGTCGAAAAATGGAGGGAACGGAATAAACACATTGATGATACAGGTAAGTCGGATTCATTTTATAGTTATATAACTCCTTATATTCCAAAGTACGCTTTTTGTGATTAGGAGAATTTTTGGACGGCAACTGACAGCATTAGGACTTTAAAAAACATTCGAGGGGTTACATAACTCCTTATCAATTATTACGCCTCAACATATTGCGGTTGTATTATTATATTTTGGTTGTTTGGGTGTATTATTCAACAGTTCTATTGTTTGAATATGTGTGGGTAGTACTGATATCTTTTAAATTTTAAAATATAATAAGTAATATCCGCGCCACAATGAATTAATCAGTAAAATTATCAATGTTATGTACCTATTACTAATCAAAATATTAGAAATGCTGCTGCAATTCTATTCTTAATTTTTTAATGTCTACACCTTTATATTATTATTATTATTAGTATTATTACTTTTGTTGACTGTAGTCAGAGAAAATATAATTTTAATTTGTGCAATGCTCTGATACTTTTAATTTAAACGAAATATACCTACTTGACGTTTACAGAAAATTTTCAAAATAATTTCCCCAGTTCTATGTAAGTTTAAATTATGTTCAGAACTTATAATAAAAGAAGTTCAGTATAAATCTGAGACATGCAAAAGCTTTCTTGTGCCGAGTATCTTGCATAACAGTGCATCTTGAAATGCACAAATTGTTAAGAAACATACCTGCTCCCCCCACATTGGAATTTTGTAAAGCTTAATTTTCTAAACAAAATTTGTAGACCATGAATATTCTTATCCATGTATCAGTATAAGTTGTGGCAAAATATATCAGATAACATCAACAGTTCCGCGATATGTCCGAAAGTTTTGCTTGAAAGTGACTAAACAGCTGCAAGTCATAACTCTTTCACTGAAACAGCTCAAAGTTGTATTACGAATATGAATGAATGCTGATTTATTACGCTCATACTTTTCCAAAATTACTTTATAAACTTACATAACCCAATTTTCTGTATTCAACCTTCAATGTGCATGTCTTGTGCGGTATTTTTATCAAAAATAAGTTTTGATGTTTGCTTTTGATATATGGTGTATAACATTTAGCGCATTTGATTAGGATAATATATAGGGACTGCTTTTATGCAGCAAGGAGAGGTTTTTGAAGGAATAGGTTCATTTGACGAACTTTTAATGTGAGTGTTTTTTTATCTGTTTTAGTCGAATTAAGATTTTCTTACATTTCAAATCAGTTCAAATTTTGAACCCTCCAATCAATATATCACCTTCTAACCACTCTATTATTTGTTCTGAATTCAAATTATCACTGCTTGGTAGATAATTACAAAGCTGTATAATTTAATAAACTGTAACAACTTTAATTTTCTCTATTGAGTTGAGGCACGTTGAGGTTAAAGGTTGTTTTATCCGTTCGTTAGGTTCGACATTGTAAGATCAACCCATGCACTGGCGACATCGCAAATAACATCCTTAGTAGTGTATGTTTTCCAAAATTCTTTCGCAGAATTTAAATTATTAGATCTAAACAAGTTTTCAATACAATAATTTCAATAACAGTGTTTTATGTTTTCAATTATGCATTGGTTCATGTATTGTGTGATTGAAGTTTTATTCCCTGGAAGAAAAAATCATCTTGTTTTTTGTTTTGCCATCGTCACTTTTTATCTCACAGTTAAGAGTGAATTGGTGCACTATTCATTAGCAACAATGCATTATTTGACAATTGTTTAGGATAGAACTTAAGAGATCGCTGGTTAAATGATATTAAATAAACAATTATAAAGAAAAAAATGCAATATTTTGTTTGTAAATAAACTAGCGAAAAATAGTAACTATAAATTATGAATAAATTATGAAATTAACTGGTCTTACTCATTATTATTGTTTGTACAAAAAACAAAGACTTACTCTTTGGTGCTATTGATGTATTCGTAACAGGCTGAAGAGTTGGTCGCGGTACCGACGCCCGAGACGCCGAGGCTATAGCACGAGAAGCGTCCAAACTAGGTCCGTGCCGTTCACTGTCTTGGTCTGAAGTGTCTGCCTTGAGAATCTTGAGATCGTTACTGGGGCAAAAACCACCCTCTGACCATTGGATGGTCCACAGCTCGTGGGCAAGAGCATGCCATAAATCAACCCTATTGTGGGACGATTTCGAATGGCGATAATTTAAGTTAATTGACACGGTAATACGAAACCTTGGACTTGTGTGTATATTTTTGACACAAAATATACAAGAGAAGCCAAATTCTCCGCAATTATAACATAATAAATGAGATAGCCAGCAAGTTACGAAATAACAGGAAGTAATATATTTTAACAAAGTCGTTGGAATACAGCATTGAATTAGATCACATTAAGTAGAGTACCGTAACATAAAAATATTAAATGTAAAAATATGAAACAAAATAATACATACTTTCCCAAACAACAATGGTTTTTCGACAATGAGCCTAATCTTTGGCAGGTAGATAATCAGTTTTTTGAATTAACGAGGCTTTTGTGGATTTCCAACCACTAGAAAGAGTAGTCTCTAGTTGCCGGTAGAGTTCACTCAATTTTGAACTTTAACTTGGAGCAATTTTGTCAGATGGTGATACTAATGTCTTTTGTGGCAATCCAATTGAGCCTGGTATAGTCAGATTTATAGACAAATCAATGCAGAAAATGTGAGTATTAGACAGTGTTATAGAAAAAATCAAAACTTGATTTTAGATTTTAGATGAAAATAAGTAATTATTAAAATTATAGAATGGACCAAAAGTGTGGACCTTTTTCAATCTTTATTGTAGAACTTTTAAAAACACACAAAACAACTGTCAGCTTTAAAACGTCAAGCTATTGGTATATTAGTGGACATCCATTTAGCCTGAGATTGCCTTACATCAAATATAAACTCAAAAACATAACCTATATGTTCTCTGTAAGTTACTTCATGAATTAGTAACCAAAATGAAATGCCCTTTCTGTATGTCATTTTTATATCTAATTTTAAAACTTAAAAAAATGCTGTTTTAGCACTCAAAGCACACTGCGATTTAAAATAGGCGTATCACTTACTTTTCTACACTAATAAGGCCAGCCGACGTGTACAGCTGTTTACTCAGTGGCGCCGGCCGACGGGTAGTTTAATGACAACAAATGCATAATTCTCCATTCAAATTAGTTTTGTCGGGAATACTTTTTTTCATTGATTATTGTAGATGTCTTAAAAAGAATTATCACATTTTTAATTCATATGTCTTAGTTAAATATAGAATTGAATAAAAATTTGTTAAACGTGCCTGCAAAAAACATCATGGTGTTTATTTATAATAAATTTAAAATAACATAAAAATATTATTATCAAGAAAACATATATAATTTGTTATCACAAACAAATAAACAATTTCGCAGTTATAGCTTGAAAATGATTTCAAATCGAACTAACTGACCGTACGTTCATAAGATTTGACGTCACGAAGGCGATAACGCTGAAACTAAGACCCCTTTCAGACGAGGATACTGTATGTGAGATACTGTATGCGAGATACAGAATTTGTGTCTGAAAACGTTCATTTAACGTAATGTTTCTTCTGTATCTGGCATACGCATTCGATATCTCGCATACTGTATCACTCACGCGTCCCGTGTGAAAAGCTCCATTTGAATCTATGTAATATCTGCGTCTCCGATACGCGTATCTCAGATACAGTATCCTCGTCTGAAAGGGGGGTAAGTGCCAATCATGAGTAATACTATTAGGGAGAGCGCCCACCAAAGTGGCGTGGCAGTGGCAAGTAGCAAGTAGCACGCGTCTAGCATAATGTAACCAATCCTAACGAATGATTAGAATGAATGACGTTACTGTCATTTTGGTGTAAACTGAATCACTCGTTTTCATTGGTTACATTATGCTAGACGCGTGCTACTTGCTACTTGCCACTGCCACGCCACTTTGGTGGGCGCTCTCCTTAGATTTCAGTATTTTTTAGGAATTTTCTTCATAGTTTGAACACGCTTTTCTCGATTATTACTGTACACAGAAAGGTGAAAAAAAATCAACGATTACAGAAAAAAAAAACTCTTTCGAGTGATGGCGTAAAAAGTTTGGTTATAATAGAACATTAAACTGCATAATCCGATATTTCAAAAAAACTTTTAAAAAAATTAAAAAAGTAAAACCATCAGTTTAAAGGCAACATAATTTTGAATAACGTGTCCAAATTTTGAGACATTTTGTCGGTAAATAATAGAGAAAATACTGTCTCTAGGTTTTGGTGTACCGATAAAACAGCCTTAGTTTCTCAAAACTTGTTTTTTTGGACCCCCATCCTTTTAACCCTGAGCTTTTCATTTGTATTATACAATATATATACTTTCGAGACTACTTTTCAATAAATTTAAACGTATAAAGAAATTACTTTACCACAAATAGTGTTACCACTTTACCATTTTATTACTTTACCACAAAAATAGTGTTAAAGGTATGTATGTTTTGATAAGTATAATACTCCAGGTGATTATGACTATACCGCTGACTTAGAGTGCTTTTAATTTCAATTATTGAAAAATTTCTTATCTTTCATTTATGACTAATATAGTTTATCTACTTACACCATATTTAAACACATCGCAAATAATGCTGTTAAAAGCTCACTGTCCTACATTATCATTTAAAATAGATACTATATTGATGTCGAATTACGTAATTTCCTATGTTAAAAACAAAAAGCATTGTTTCAAATTACGCATATAATAAAAACTTTATTCAACACGAAAAGTAGATAATTAATCAGTACTCCAGCGCCAATAAAACATTGTGAAGACATGCTCAATTTGTTAAGCTTGTTTCGTCGACCACAGCTGTTGTCGTCGCTGTATGTGGTAGCCATGTTTTCTATTTTAACTATTTGATGTGAATTATACATATGTATAAGGGTTAGACCCAAGATCTGTGGCCTAGAGAGCCCGATCTTTGTTTTTAATATGTTGTTTGTCCACAATTTTCTTTCTATGAAGTATTTATTGCCTAATTGACGATAGCTCTGGTGATGACATTTATTATGTCGAAAGTGTACTAAGCTTAATTAATAAATTATTTTACACACTATCAATTTTATTGAAAACATACAAAACTTGCTTACCAGTTAGACCTATTTAGAAGTGTGTACAAGTCTTACAGTCTTTTTCAATGTATTGATGTTTGCCTACCTACCTATATTTCAAATATTTTCTAAGGTCATCCCATCTATACAATTGTTGGTTAAGTTTACCGAAAGTACAAGCTGAATATAGCCGCAAATATCACAAATATTTGGGTTTGGCAGTGTTGGCATGTTTTTATAATGCATATGTTGAATGCTTCAAATACAAAGAGATAAAGCTTTTAAAAAGTACATTTTGATTATACTATTTTATGAATCCTGCAATTTTTATTATATATGAAGTAATAGCGAGTAGGTATTTGTCTCTTTCGATATTAATTGCAAACATCTTTTGTAATCTGGCAACTGCTGATTTGACGATTGCCAAATCTATCCCCAAATCTATCAAAGGGTAACTGCTAAAAAATTTCTAATTATTAACTGCAGTTAATCTCCAAAGAATCAAATACTTATTCATTGTTGTTTTATATAAATCAAAAATTGTAGAATTCGTAACACAATATAAACAAAATGTACTTTTCTAAAGCTTTATCTTTTTATATTTGAAGTATACAACATGTACATTCTAAAAACATGCCAACACTGCTATACCGAAATTTGTTGTTCCATGTTTGACATTTGCGGCTATAATCAGCTTGTACTTTCGGTAAACTCAACCCAATTGTTCTACAATTAATAAGATAAAACCGGGAGCAAAAAACAGAAATAACTCAGATGTAACTAAGTATATTTCTTATCCATTGAAATATACCTATAGTCATATATTTTTAAAAACAAATAATCGATTTTTGCAGGCTTCATAAAATTTTTCGCGGCTATTTAAGTACTAATCGCATGTAGCAATACATACTGATTAGGAAAATACATTATATACTTTTTAGTCCAATTACAGAGTTACATAAGTCGATTCGAAGGATGAAAATTAGTCACGTTATTATATAAGTCGTATTATATTTCATATATATTTCATACATTATAAATCTACATTGTTTGGTTGTGGCAAATTTATTCTAAAGGTTATTTTTAATAATATGGGTACAATACAATTGTTATACATTTTATATTCAAACGAACGCAAAAGGATTTTAAAATACGGCTAGTAGACGATTACTGAAGATTCATTGAAACTGTTAGATTAAATAACTTTTAATAATATTTTAATATTTCCTTGCTTCTTCTTGTCCATTTCCGTTATGTCTTTTCAATCGTAAGCTTAAGCTTTTTTTTACTTGCCGTATTGCCAGATTCCAGTAAGAGCCTAAGAAGGTATCCATTGAATTCTGGCAGGCAGCGGAGGGGGAAATTTTTTTGGACATCTTTGTGACGGAGCAAGACACCCTGGCATTTTTTGGCCGAATAAGATACTAGAGCAGAAGAGTCTTGGTTTAGTGTTCGGGCTGAAACCTTAACCACCGTTCCAGAGAGGTGGTCTTGTCACTCAATAAACGACTAAAATAAAAAAATAAAAACTTCTAAATAACCATACCTATTATCGTAAATCAGAAAATATTTCAGACGTTAGGCCCTAACTAATAAATAATATTAACCATAAATTTCACACCCCTGGTTTAATTTCCTCCTCTGTCCTCCTGCTCTTTTTCTTCATCACCTCAGAAATCAGACAGTGTACTTCTCTCCTCTCAACATTATGTTTACCTTGGTTTCTTTCACCAAACCCGAAACCAATTCGCCTACCGAAATCTCCTCTCTCATTTGCCCATCTCTGGCAGTTAAAAATGTGGGTGGGAGCGTCCGATACCCCACAAAAAGTACAGTCTACAGAGGCAGATTTGCCTATTCTATTTGTGAAGGTACCAAAACTACCATCTCCGGTCAGAAACTGCGTCTAGTTTCCTGAACTTACATTCCCACCACGGCCTCAGATCGAGAATAAACTCCTTCGTCCTATCATTCGCTCATTCTCTCTGTCACTATACTATCGTTCTTTCTATCTCATTCTCATCTATATTTCCATCCATTCTCCTCGCATACACCCCCTTGCTCGCTCTTTGCACAATAAAACGATAGGTATTACGGCTCCAATAACATATAGAGCATCATTTGAAACCGTCCTATATGCGCTAGATACTCTGAGGAGCATTCGCCTTTGCGACGTCTCCATCAGCTCAGCGTATTTCGTAGTATTCAGTACACCACACCACACGGGGTCAGCGTAGGTTACAGCCGACTGGAAAACTCCATTTAGCACCTTTCTCTTGGTGCTTTCTGGGCCTCCAATGTTTGGCATCAGCCGTATCAACGCCTCCACATTTCGGTTCGCCTTCTCTACCATCTTTTGGATGTGTACTCCGAACCTTAGTCCTTCCGACAACCAGACTCCCAGATACTTAATCGATTTAACCGGTGGAACCTCCACACCTTCCACTATAAAGCGAAGAGAGGATTTTTCCCTGCTCCCTTTGAGAACTAACACCTCAGTTTTCTGAGGCGCTAGCTGTAGATCGTTCTCTCTGATCCACTTACTAATGCGACGCAGGCTGTGTTAGCCGCATTAGCCATGTTATTTTTCCGACTTGCCTTCACAATCAGTGCGAGATCATCCTACAATGCTACGTCATCTATTTTAGCTTGCTGTATTGCATCTTAACGCAATATATGCTCATCCGCTGGAAGCGTATAGCACTTAAAGAAGAAGAATATACCAGTAAATTTGTATTTACTTTACTTGTAATTTTTAATTTTTTTAGATTTGTTTCTCTTATTGAAGCAATTCATTTGTGAAATATCCAACAGCGCCATCTCAGTTATAGGTACTCTCAAGAACTACATACTTTTTCTAGTTCTTTCATAGGATACATAGGGTAAAGGTAACACAGTAAATTCAAGAACATGATGAATATCAGGAGAGCACCACAAAGCAAAATTGAACAAACAAGGATAAAACTAATAAAAGCAGGTTTTATGAAGCTGAGCTAGGTTTTAAATAATAAAATATATTCCCAATAAAATGAAAAAGACAGCAAATATTTGATTTCACACAAACAGCGCCTATGTATCTGTTGATACGTATTTCGACCTAATAGGTCTCATCAGAACAGTTATTCATAGGTGTTCTCAACGTGAAAAATCAATATTTTCTGTCTTTTAAGAAGCAACACTACAATGGCTTCAATACGGACGCAATAGCGACATCTAATAATAAAATCCGTAAAATAGTTTCGAAACACAATTCAGATTTCTGCTTATAATAAGAGCCTTCTAAAAATTGCAAGGCAAAGAGACGTTGATAAAAGATGTTAAAATGCAAATTTTAGATTCCCCATGTCCCTTTTAACATCTTTTATTAACGTCTGTTTACCTTGCCATTTTTAGAATGCTCAGATTATAGGCAGAAATCTGAATTGTGTTTCGAAACTATTTTGCGGATTTTATATTCCCAATATTTTAGAACTAATATATGTCTCGAAAGTGGAGCGTAGATGTTAGTGCGTTATGAAGTTAGCGTACGAAGGTATACTGCGCACCTGCAGCTTAAAATAAATATCTAGGGCGGGGTATCCCTGCTTTACACACGAACGTACCGCTGGACACAAAATAAATCAAAACTTCTGCAAACATATCTTAGCTACCTCAAACTAAAAAACAAGAAGAATAAGAGAAGTGATAGAAATAGAAGTACGAGAAAGCTTCAACAATACAGAAGATGTTTTAAACCTCCACAGAAAGTTTAAATCACTAGTTCAAACGCTTCCCAATCTAGAATTTTACAATAGACAATCACATTGGCGATACAATCTAGTAAATACGTAAGCCTTCTTCTTCTCGTAGCACTACAATCCTGTGTGAGTCTTGGCTAACTGCACAACTCGCTTCCATCTCGAACGATCGCCCATGATAGTCGGGTCAGTGGGTAGCCCCATTGTTATTAAATCTGACCAAATAGTTTCTCTCCATAGCATTGGGATTTACTCTCTTGTGTAAATCGCTAGCCCTATACATCCGTTTGACCTCAGCATTTGTTCTCATTCGGTGTTGGTTAGTATTCGGGTCATGATAGGGTCCAAAAAGTCTTCTAGGGATTTTTCTCTCAAAACATCTGAATTTTCTTTTCATTACTTTTGTCAGCATCCACGTCTCGCACCCATACATGATCACCGGTCTGGTTACTGTTTTATATATCCTGATTTTTGATGTTGATGTTAGAGTCTTGGATTTAATAGTGTTGTGGAGGCTATAAATACATCTGTTTGCTGCCTTTTATCTCTTCCGTGATATCGTTATCTACGGCGATTGTCACTCAGATATATTTAAAACTCTCCACTCTTTTAAAATGATGTCGGTCTATTGTTACCTTTTGCCCTATTCTAGCTCGTCTCTTTTGTCTGTTAATGTACATGTATTTGGTTTTTTCTTCATTTTTTTTTCTTCATTGACCCTTAGACCGGTCTTTTTTGCCTCTTAGTCTTCTTCTTCTTCTCGTGCCACTCCTAGCGGAGATTGGAAATCATCATGGCCACTGCGACTTTGTTAGCAGCGCGCCTGAAAAGTTCAATCGAACTACACCCGAACCATTCACGTAGATTACGAAGCCACGATATTTTTCTTCTTCCCATACTTCTTTTGCCCTTAATTTTGCCCTGCATGATGTTTCGTAAAAGTTCGTACTTTTCACCTCTCACAATGTGCCCCAAGTGTTCCATCTTTCTAGTTTTTATCTCATTTAGAATTTCGCATCTTTTGTCTAAAGTTTGGAGTACTTGCGTGTTAGTGACGCGGTCCATCCATGATATTCTGAGAATGCGCCTATAGCACCACATCTCGAAAGCTTCGATGTTTTTTATGGTCAACTGTTTTAGTGTCCAATCCTCAACTCCATATAACAGGGTAGAAAAGACATAACACCGCAGCATTCGTATTCGTAACTTTATATTGATATCACGATTGCAAAAGAGTTTGCGCATTCTATTAAAGACTGATCTAGCGATTTCTATTCTACATCTAATCTCTTTTGTTTGATCAGTATCGTCTGTGATCCAAGCACCTAGATATTTATAACAGGGCACACGCTCAATCGTTGTATTGTCTATTACAAGATTAGCTCTGATGTTCTTTGATTTCGTGATTACCATAAATTTAGTTTTTTTCAAATTAATTTTCAAGCCGTAACTGTTACAGTATATATTGAGACTTTGAACGAGATGTTGTAGTTCTACTAGCGTTCCCGTTAGGAGAACTGTATCGTCAGCATAGCTTATATTGTTGATCGTCTCACCATTTATTATCAGACCAAGATCTTCTTCCTCGAGTGCTTGTTCACAGATAGCTTCACTATACAGATTAAATAAAAGTGGCGATAAGATACATCCCTGCCGGACTCCTCGACGGATTTGAATTTCTTCTGTTAGTCTGCCCTCAACCTTGACATTTGCTGTTTGATTCCAATATAGATTGCATATAATTCGAATATCTCGGCTGTCTATATTTTTCTTTATTAGAACTTGTCTTAGTGGTTCATGTTGTACTTTGTCAAAGGCCTTTTCGAAATCAATAAAGCAGGCGTAAATTGCCTCTTAGTGCAAAAATACTAAATAGGCTTTGAGGCTTTATATAATCTACATTGTATCTATGGTGTTGTTGCGGACCACAGTATAAGCCAGCCCTAATTTATATTTTCAATCATCAAGAACGATCATATGAACTATACGTCGATGATAGTGTTAAGGTAAACAAACAACTTGCGTGCACCATTCCTAATTAAAATTTGTTAAAATAAACGTTTTTAATAATTTAAAATCAGTTTATTGCTTAATTTGCTACTCATTATAAATGCTCAATGTCAGTCAATAATGACGTTAACGTTATATAATTTTTTAAAATTCTACAAGTTCATAATGGTGATTCAATAGGGTCTTGGTGTTATGTAACTAAACTTATTATATATTCAATTTAGAATAAATTATTCTGATTGAGACGTGGATTATTTTATTTGTATATTTTTATCAAGTCGAACTATGTTATAAAATCGTTTTTAATCATTAAAATTATACAATACTTATAATCTGAATTAACAATACTTGTATTAAAAATAGGATATTCAATTGGAATATCTCGTTCTTCTTAAATTTTTTCTTCTTCTTCTTTAAGTTCCATCTTCTATCGAAGGTTGGAAATCATCATGGCTATGCGGACTCTGTTGACTGCCGCTCTAAAAAGTTCTGCACTACTGCATTCAAACCATTCCCTTAAGTTCTTAAGCCAGGATATTCTTCGTCTTTCCACATTTCGCTTTCCTCGGATTTTGCCCTGCATAATAAGTTGTAATAATGCGTATTTTTGCCCTCTCATCACATGTCCCAAGTACTCAAGTTTTCGTCTTTTAATAGTTAATATTATTTCCGCCTCATTTCCTATCCTTCTAGTTACTTCCATGTTTGACATTCTTTGAATCTATGATATTCGTAGGATTCATCTGTAACACAGATGAACTTGTTTTAGTGTCCAAGCTTCCAAACCATAAAGAAGAGTAGAGAACACGTAACATCGAAGCATTCTCAGGCATAGTTCTAACCTTATATCCCTACAACAAACAAACTTTTTAAGTTTAATAAATGATATACGTGCTATTTCAATACGTGTCTTACATAATTTCTTTGGTTTGGTCTACATCTGATGTTATCCATGTTCCTAAGTATTTATAGTTATTAACACTCTCAATTGCAGTATCTTCAATAGTCAATTGGATATTTGCATGTGCAGATTTAGTCATGATCATGCATTTAGTTTTCTTTAAATTTATCTTCAGTTCGTACTCATGACAGCTTTCATTAAGGCGTTGTATTACGTTCTGTAAATCATTGTTGTTATGCGTAATTATTACTGTATCGTCTGCAAAACGTAAGTTATTCAAAACTTCTCCATTGATAGATATACCTTATATTGAGTCTGAGAGCGCTTCTTGAAATACCGCTTCACTGTACACATTGAAAAGTAGTGGGGACATCACGCAACCCTGGCGGACTCCTCTCTGTATTTTGATATTTTCGGTGTACTGGCTGTCAACTCTTACCTTGGCAGTTTGATTCCAATATAAATTAGATATAATTTTCAGATCACGACTGTCAATATTTTTGCTTTTTAATATATCTACAAGCTTTTTATGTTGAACTTTATCAAATGCCTTTTCAAAGTCTACAAAACATAAGTACATATCCTGATTCATGTCCATGCATCTCTGAGCCAGCACATTCAAGCCGAACAAAGCATCTCTTGTACTCATATCATTTCTAAAGCCAAATTGTGTGTCACTAATCTCATATTCAAGAGTTTTAACAATTCTGCTGTGAATTATTTTCAAAAATGTTTTAAGTGTGTGACTCATTAAAGCGTTGATTGAATAATCCAATTTGGATTATTCAATCAACGATTAAAGCTGTGGTTCTGTGGTCTGAGCAAGTTGTTGAACTTGGTTTTTTGGGAATTGCCTAAAAAGGTTGATTGCAGCCATTGTCTGGGCAGTCTGATATATTAGATTAAAGAGTTCAACCATTACATCAATATCATCTTCATCGATGAGTTTTAATAATTCGATGGGCACCTCATCTGGTCCAGTAGCTTTACCCTCTTTTGTGTGTTTGATGGCATAGATGACTTCTTCTCTTAATATTGGTGGTCCGGTATCCTCGGTGATTTCTAATGACAGTTCTTCTCTTTCATCATTAAATAGTTGTTGAATGTAATTGGTCCAGTGACATAATCTGTCCTTCATATCAGTAATAATATCCCCTTTATCATTTTTAAGGATATTCGTTTTTGTACGCTTTCTAGAACCTGTCATTTCTTTGATTTTTTTGT